AAAAAAAAAAGAAACAACTTTAGAAACGAGTTCAGTAATTTTGCTTGTCGCTAATTTCGTTATTTTGTTCAAAAGCACAACATTGAAAAAAAAAATTGCTTTTTATGCTGGACTTTTCTTACATTTTGCTTTAATGTGTCTTTAAATATTCTAAAATCAGATATTTGACAGACGACTTGCTTCACTGTTTTTCTTTTTTATTATTTTTTTTTTTTTGTAATCGGCCAAAAAAACCGTGGTTGGCAATTTGCGCTGTTTAATTCAGAGCATAAATTCTAAGAGCAAAAAGCAGGCGGCAGCAATGAATTGACGGTGTGATTAAAATTATTGATATTACCACTACTGCTACGATTATTACTGTTATTATTACTGCTTCTATTACTATTATTATTACTGCTAATAATAATACTACTACTACCATTATTAGTGGTATTCTTTGTAGTGTTAATAACGGTATTGCTGTTAGTGATGCATTCGCTGTTACTGTTCTAAGCGATTACTGTTGTTATAGTCTTTGAATCAGATTACTTGCATATTTGGAGTCTTTCACATAAACTGTATATAATTGAGAGTAAAAAGAAAGAAACCGAAGTTGCAGTCGAATAAGATGAACAATTTTTTTTTCTGAAACATTTAACCGATAACTGGTAACCAATTGTGTTCGGTTATATCTGTGTCTGTGGCTGTGTCTCAGATACATATATATCTAAGAATACAAACGTTTTTTATTCTTGTTGATAGATCAACAATAAGTATAATGCTTCTGACGTTAGACAACAGTAACGGCGATCACGATTTTTTGACGTCAAATTACGACAATATAACTGTGGAAAAAAAATTGGTAGTTATTATTGGTAAGATGCTGGTTTAAAAAAAACAGCAGTTGAATGATATCTGTGAATTTTTAAAATTATTTACTGCTTTATATTATGGTTTTTACTAGGACAGTAAGCTGTTGCTGTGCTGCCAATTGTTGCTTAAATGTCAAAGTTTAACTCGTTTAAGTTCTTGAAAAAGGTATATGATTATATGGGGGATGAAAGGCTAAAATATGATCAGCAGCGCTCACGCACAGATGACATTAGGGCTGAAAGCAAAACATAGATATGCGTTCTTTGGTTAGGCACATCATGGCAATACATAGTTGTCTGTTCTTGCCTATAGATGTCTCTAGATATTTGCGCAACTAGCTAATGCTTTTTGGAGGTGACGAAGTTCTTCTCAATGCTGCTAACAGCAGTGATTTTACCGCTGTTGGAGTGAAGGTAGTAGTTTATCGGTCATTTCTCGGTGCTTTGGCAATTTGTTTTTACTGGTCTCTGAATGAAGAAAAACTGTTTAAATTCTTGCTTTTTGTAACTCTTTTTTTGTGGTTATTATTATTATTGTTATTGTTATTATTTAGTTTAACTGCTTATTCGTTGAATTTTATACATATTTTTTGGACAGAGGGTGTCTGGTTTGAAGACGGAAAAAAAGAAAAAAAAAAA